GTTACCTTATATAGCAAAAGGGTCGGTGCAGAAATGATGAAGGACCTTGAGGCAGGATGTTATCCTATGCTGTCTGGGTGGGGCCATTGTAAGCTCAGGATCCTTACAGTGGGCACAAAGGCCAGAGAGAGACAAGAGAGAACAACCCAAACAGCAGCCAGAGATAAGAAACAGCAGCCAGAGATAAGATCTGCTGCTGAGGTGCTGCAGATTTTCAAAGGGCCCTGGATTGAGGAATGCAGGTGGTTCCTGGAAGCTAGAAAAGGCAGGGCTATAGAATCCTACAGGTCAACTGTGACTTCTGACCTCTAGAAATGTAAGACAAATTGATGTTTTTTTTTTCTTTTTTTTTTTTTTTAATTTGTGCAGTAATAGGAACCTAATACACCATCCAACACAAAACTCAGCTTTGTTCTTCCAAGGCCTGGGGAATGAGCCCATCTGCTCCAGAAACTGAAGTTGCCATAAGCCAACATAGAAGCCAGGATCTGAAGGTCAAGGTAGCTGGGACAGTGTGGGAGCCTGGCTGTCAACAGATATCAACTCCTCCCAACAGACTGCACCCTGGCAACCCTAGGAGGAGAGCAGGCCTGGCTTCCAGACACCTCCTTTCTCCAGTACCTACAGAAGCATGTACAATGTACACTACTTTCCTCTTTCAAGATACCTTGAAAACATGAAGCCAGGCATAGTGATGCACACTAGTAATCCCAGCTACTGGGGAGGCTAAGGCAGGAGGCTGAGGCAGGAAGATCATAAGCTCAAGGCCACCATGGGCAACTTGGTGAGATCCTGTCTCAAAAATTTTTTTAAAGGCTGGGATGTAACTCGGTGTTAGAGCACTGTGGGTTCAATCCCCTGCATTGAAAAAAAAATTTTTAAATATTTTTTTAGTTGTAGGTAGACACAATACCTTCATTTTATTTATGTAGTGCTGAGGATTGAACCCAGGGCCTCACACATGGGAGATGAGCACTCTACCGCTGAGCCCCAGCCCCAGCCCTACATAGCAAATTTAAAAAAAATAAAATAAAAAAGAAAGAAAATCTGAAATATTGGTTCACACTAGAGTCCTTACAACTTATTGATTTTTCCCTGCCAGTCATTTGCATTTGAGAAAGAACATGCCCATAGAAAATAATTCCGAACACATCTAAATCTATACAGTGACTCTTGGGATATGCTTATTTGGGGGAAAGCAAGGTCCTGGTAAATGTTCACTTGGGTAGAGCTGGGGAAGGGAGGAAGAAGAACTCAGTGGTAGAGCACAAACTCAGTGTTGGCAAAGCCCTGGGTTCTATTCCCAGCACTGTGTGCACACACAAACAAATCTCAGCCAACTCTTTCACAGGATTATGGCACGTGAAGATGAAGGCAGAGATCAGGGTGATGGATAGGTGAGACAAGGAACATCAAAGAATGCCCACAAACCATCAGAGCCAGGATAGGCACACAGGGCAAATTCTCCCTCACCGCCTCCACAGGACCAGCCCTTCCGACACCTGGAGCTAAGACAGTAAATTTGTTTGAGCCACCAGGGAGTGCATGCAGGTGCCTCCAAATGCTGGCAGTCAGCTAAAATGAGAACAGTGGGTATGAGTACGGTGGGTGGAAGCTGAGGTACCTGACTCGCAGTCAGGGTTGACAAGCCCGAGGATGAGGCTGTGTGGGAGGCAAGGCCAAAAGCCCAGCCAAGGCCAAGTCCCCAGTCTCAGCAAGGATATCCATGAGGACACCACCAAGGCTTGAAGTCACACCACCACACAGAAACAGAAACAAGGCAGAGCCCACAGTCCAGCAGGCAGCCAGGAATCCCGTGTGGCCAGTCTGCCACACGGCACCACCAACACCAGGCGTGGTCAACAGGAAAGAATATCTAGGGGACAGAATGGAAAGCCATTCTAGGGCAGTCCTAGAACACTAGTCTTAAAAATAATCTACAGAGCTGGACACCTCCCTTCCCTCCCAACCTGCCAGGCAATAAACTACAGTAAAAAGGGAAAGAACCTGAGGTCGAGGGAGGCCTGGAGGTCCCGCAATTGGAAAGCCGAACTCCTGAGGGAAGGGAGCCCGAGGGAAGGGTGAGGTAGCAGGAATCCTCTCCCAGTAAAAGCAAGTCATGTACCTACCACCTGGCCAGGTCCTCTCTTAAAAAAGTGTGTGTGTGTGTGTGTGGGGGGGGGGGTTCCCTCAGGTGTGTCTCCCTGGGGAGGCTGCCCCCAGGAGGGGGAGGCTGAGAGACAGTGCAAAACAATTCCTTTCACCTGTGAGACAGGTATGACCTGAGAGGCCAGTCCTGCATTGGCAATCAAGTCAGAACCCCCTGGCTGGCCCAAGCCTGGCGCCAGGTGCATGGTGGGCCCTGCCGGACACAGTAACTGATTGTTCAATCAGAACCTGGGGAGTGAAGCCAGAACAGGGCTTAGAGATGCTTCCTCTTTGGAGACTCTGTGACCACTGGGTTTCTGGGGCAGCTCTGTGGCAAGCAATCCACCAGGCCAACAGATGCCCAATATCCTGGAGAAGCTGGGCAGGGGGGGCTGCCAGCCTATCCCAGCTTGGCCTCCTAGGCTGGGGGCAGGGCTGGGGGTTTGCTACTCAACTCCCCAGGTCAAGGATTTGGCTGCTTGAGTAAACCCTTCCAAGTTTCAGTTCCCCCAAGTGTCAAGAGCAGAAAGCAACTTGCTTTCCTGTCTCTAGGGTCAGGAATGGGGATGGGTGAGTTTCTGGAGAAGGGATGAAGTTCTTTAGACAGGCCCAAAGGGAAAGGGGTCTGGAAGAGGCACCGCGGTGGGGGGAGGTGAATGACCAGAAGGAGGCGGGGCAGAGCAGAGGCTCTTAGAACAGAGGGGTGGTGGTGGGGAAACCCAGGCAGGACAGAGGAATCATTGTGTGGAGTGGCACCGGGGCCAGAGGGCTCTGCCCTTTGCCTCTCTCCCACTGGGCCTTCCCCAGCTGGGAGGGGAGCTGGGCCCTCCGAAGGCCAGGGGATAAAGAGCCCAGCAGGCTGCCCTGCCTCCCTTTGCAAGCTCCAGCTGTTTCCAGTCAATCCCACCCCCTCCTCGCCAGTCCTAGGACCCAGGGGTTGCAGCCTGTCCGCCCCCCCTCCCGCGAGAGAAACAGGAAGCCCTGTTCCAGGCGGGCTTCATAACCCCGTGCCTCAGTTTCCCCTCTTCAGCCGCTAACAAGGGCGGCTTGTCAGGCCTGACAGAAGTGTTCTGAGCCAGGAAGCAGAGGCGGGAACCCCGGGTCGTTCTCCGCAGTTGGTCCCTTCCAAGGTTGAGATCTTGGGGAGTATACCTTCCTACCCGCGTCATCTAGGCTCCAAGATCCGGACCTGGACCCTAATGGGGAAGGAAAAAACGGGGAGAAGGGGGTGGCGGGCAGACCTGGCTCCTGGCTCCCGAGCGGAGACCCTCCTCCAGCCGGTGCTCGCGTCCCCGTAGCGCATGACCGCGGCACTGCGGCTGCAGCGCTGCCCTCCCCTGCCGGCGCGGGATTCCCCGGGTCTGCGCCATAGGGGGCCAAGGGTGCCGGACGCAGTCTCCGCGGATGCGCGGCGCTGGGAATCAGTGATGACGCCCCTGCTCCTTCTCCAGTTTCTCGTTTCCGGGCGTTTCTCCACCCGTGAACGCGTCGCTGAGTCACCTTCTCAGGGCGCTCTCGGAACGCTGGGGACCCGGCCCGGGGCTGTGCCAGGACCGCGCAAAGCGGAAGCACACACTGCGAGGAGGCGTGCGGACCGCGGCTTGGGAAGTCCCATCCTGAGTGCTCCGTCCGGGGACTCCCACGTGTTGGGAAAGGGGGTCGGGCTGTGGGGTCCTCTGGAAGAGAAGACACCACCGAGGCGTGCCCGGATTCAGGGCGCACCGGGCAAATCGGCTCCGCGTTCCTCCCGGGCCAGCCTCTTTAGGAAGCTATAGAAGAGAGGTGTGGGGGTCGGGTAGGGGCCGGCGAGGGACGTGGGCTCTCCGCAGCCAGGGCCTGGCCCGTCTGAATCTCCTGCGGGTCCCCCTCCCAAGTGTGGCCCTACCTGGTCAGGTTATCAGTTCGGCCTTGGCAACGTCTTCCTCCCAGTCTCCGCAAATAACCTTCCAGGGATTTAATTCGAGTTGTTCACGGACACGTTCTCGTCACTTGCCGCGGAATATTTCAGACACTGACACGCGTGCGGTTTGCCAATTGAAGCAGAAACTCCCTGGCGCGTTTGCGTCTTCGCGCGGAGCCAGCCGGAGGGGCGGGGGCGGCGGGGCCACGCCCTCCGAGCTTGCCTCTGGGTCGGGATCTGGACCCCTAGGCCTTCCACACTGCTGGACTCCTCTCCAGCAGGCGAGGAACGTGGACCTGGACTGCTATCTGCGGACAACTTCTCTGGCCCAGGTGAGCCTTGATGGTGTCCCCAGGGAAAGGTTCCAACTTTGGGGGTTGCTGACAAAGCTCCCTCCTCCCGACCGCGTACTCCGACGCGGAGCCCCAGGGCCAGTCCAGATCTGCTCGGGACGGCGCGCCCGGCTGCTTTGGGTTCGTTGTGGGTGTGTGGCCCAGCCGCAGTCAGGAAGTTAAAAATAGCCCTCCGCGGGAGACCTGGGGAGGAAGAAAGAGAAAGCCCGCGAGTGGCTGGTGAGATATCCCAGCTCGGGAGAATGGGCGCCAGGCGGGGTCCGGGACTTCGAATTCCGGGTGGACGTGCGAAGGAGTCACGGCATCCTGGCTTCGAGCAGCGAGGATGGGTCTGCCGTTAGCGCTGGGGGCTGCGAAATCGCGGTGTCCAGGCGCAGTCTAGGGTCTTCCCAGAGCTCAAGATCACACGCGCCCGGTGCCCACTCAAACTCTGGGCACCCAGACGTATTCGCGCGGGGCTTGCACCTCGGCTTGAGCGGCGAGCTCACCTTCGCGCGCCGGGGACGCTGTGTCCGCGCCTCGCCCAATGCTCCTCCAGTCCCTCGGCGGCGCCACCTCCTATGAGCGGCGGGAGCGCGCATCCGCATCCCAAGACTGTCGAGAACCTGCGTGTGGCGGTGGGCGCGGACCGTGCTGGGGGTGGCGTGGTGAGGCCAGGGTTCAGGGCCCGGGTCCACATCGAGCTCCAGTTCCACCTCCGCTAGCTGAAGCCACGAGGGGCGTGGTTAGGCCGGCGCCCAGACAGAGAGCCCTCCCCAAGCCGCGGCGCCTCGCAGTGAAGTTGAGCGAAAAGTTTGAGGCCAGAGGCAGCGAGACCCGGGAGTCTGTGCCAGCCCGGCGCTTCAGTTGTCACTCAGATGCCGGGCTGAGCCTGGAACGAGCCTCGTTCCGCCCCAGGCCACTATAGGGAACGGCGTTTTCGCCTTGCCAGCAAACCAGACCGACTGGGTAGGGCCGCCCGCCCTGCCCTCCCGTGGCTGGTGGCTCCTGGGCGGCCCGCCCTCGCGGGGCCCTGGGGAACTGGGCCACGCACCGCGAGGTCCTGTGCCCACTTGCACTCGGGCAGGGCAGGAGGCAACTGTTGGCTCTGCTCCGGCTCGGCTCTCGCGCTACGAACGCTGCTCCCACCAACGCAGCGAGCGTCCAGGCGGAGCAGGGCTCTTAGAGGTGTGCCACGGCCCCAGCTTCTCTGAAACTCAGGGCAGGGGACGCGAGGACCGGGCTGTCTGGGACTGGGATCTTCGCTCCATACTTTGTGCCTCGCGATGTCCGCTCAAGTTCTGGGATTTTTGCGCAACTGGACTCCCCTCTCCCTGGCAGCCCGACAGGGTGAGGAGCTGGTCCGACAGAGAGAACCATGGGGCTCTGACTCATCCCTCGGGCCGGAACCCAAAGCCCCAAAGAGGAATGTCCTGGGAAGAGACCCTTCGTTTCGAGGGGTTGGGGACTCAGTTGCTTGGTGACACCGGACGTCCTTCCAGAAAGCTAGGTCCCCACGGGCTTATGGCGATTCAGGAGCGCGCCACTCCTGGTGCGTGGTCCCGGCATCTGGCTGGGCGCCGCCTCCCGCGCCAGGAGCTGCTGCCCTGGACTCCTCCAGCGCTGTCTCCTCTTGTCCCGCAGATCTGGCCGCTGCAGGGAATGACGCGGTTACCCCCACAGCCCCGGCTCCGGGCGGGGAGGGCGAGCCCCACAGCCAACCTCGCGACGCCCTCCTGGGCAGCACCGATAAGGAGCTGAAAGCACGAGCCGCGGTCACCGAGGGCAGCGCCGCAACAACGCTGGGGACCCCCTGGCAGCGGGAGCCGCGGGTCGAGGCTATGGATCTAGGTTTGTGGGAGTCTGGGAAGAGCGGTAGGGTTCTCTCCCTCGCCAGAAATATTGGAACTCCGAGAGAGAGGATCTGGGGACTCTGGAGAGAAATACTTTCCCCCTGGAGACTGGAAGCCTACCGGGCCTGAGCCAAGAAAAGGGGGATCAGGGGCAGCGCGCCCCACCCCAGAATTCCCCTCGGGAGGTCGTGTCCTCTGGTTGGGCTCTATTGGGTTAAGTACCCGGGTATTGCTGGCGCTGCGTTTCCACCCCACTGCCCTGGTTGCTCTTCTCGGCCCCCTAGTGGCCGGTTGGGGACGCGGCTTTCTCAGGTTTGTTTTTGTAGCGAGTGGCCCCCGGAACCTGCTCCCCCGGCCTTGCCGTGTGTTGGTGCTGCTGAACCCGCGCGGCGGCAAGGGCAAGGCCCTGCAGCTCTTCCAGAGCCTCGTGCAGCCCCTTCTTGCCGAGGCCGAAGTCTCCTTCACTCTGATGCTCACTGGTGAGTCTCCTTTACACGGGCCGAAACTGGGGCAGCATCCCCTGCCAGAACCAGCCCTGAGAACTGCATGTCTCCTACAGAAAGGAGGAACCACGCACGGGAACTGGTGCGGGCGGAGGAGCTGGGCCGCTGGGATGCTCTGGTGGTCATGTCTGGGGATGGGCTGATGCATGAGGTGAGGCCTGCACCAGAGGCTGGCCGGGGGTTGGGGCATGGGTGGGGTGGGGCTTCCAGGGCTGAGCCCTCATGTCAACAGGTGGTGAATGGACTCATGGAGCGCCCAGACTGGGAGACAGCCATCCAGAAACCCTTGTGTAGCCTCCCAGCAGGCTCTGGCAACGCTCTGGCAGCTTCCTTGAACCACTACGCTGGGTGAGAGCCCAGGGCCAGAGTGGGCCTCCATTTCCCCTGGGTGCCCACTTCTGCCAGGTTTTCTTTTCCAAGTTCCCATATACAGGAGTAACGTCCACTTCACCTTTATCCCTCCAGGCTGGCTCTCAGTTCTGGGGCCTGCTCCTGGTGGGCCAAACTGGCTGCATTCACCTGTTCTCTGTCACTGCCCCTGCTAACTCGTGCCTGCAGGCAAAAGGGAGGAGGAAGGGGAGGATGCACGGGGTTCCTCCCCTGCCCCATCAGACCCTTTCCCCTGCAGCTATGAGCAGGTGACTAATGAGGACCTCCTGACCAACTGCACGCAGCTGCTGTGCCAACGGCTCCTGTCACCTATGAACCTGCTGTCTTTGCACACCGCCTCGGGGCTGCGCCTCTTCTCTGTGCTCAGCCTGGCCTGGGGCTTCATTGCTGATGTGGACCTGGAAAGTGAGAAGTATCGGCGCTTGGGGGAGATGCGCTTCACTCTGGGGACCTTCCTGCGCCTGGCAGCCCTGCGCACCTACCGGGGGCAACTGGCCTATCTCCCCGCAGGAAGTGCTGTTTCTAAGATGCCCACCTCCCCTGCTCTAATGCAGCAGGGCCCTGTGGACGCACACCTTGTTCCCCTGGAGGAGCCAGTGCCCTCTCACTGGACCGTGGTGCCCCATCAGGACTTTGTACTGGTGCTGGCGCTGCTGCACACCCATCTGGGCAGTGAGATGTTTGCTGCACCCATGGGCCGCTGTGCAGCTGGTGTCATGCATCTGTTCTACGTGAGGGCAGGGGTGTCCAGGACCATGCTGCTGCGCCTCTTTCTGGCCATGGAGAAGGGCAAGCACATGGAGTATGACTGTCCCTACTTGGTGCATGTGCCTGTGGTTGCCTTCCGCCTGGAGCCTAAGGATGGGAGGGGTGTGTTTGCTGTGGATGGGGAGTTGATGGTCAGTGAGGCTGTGCAGGGCCAAGTGCACCCAGACTACTTCTGGATGGTCAGTGGTGGCTGCAGGGGTCCCCCACCCAGCCAGGAACCCCAGCAGATGCCACCACCAGAAGAGCCTTTATGACCCCCCATGGGCTTGCTGTGCCTTTGTCTGCTGCGTGTAGGCTGAGCTTGGCACCCTGTCCTTCCCCCAGGACAGGGGACCTCTCCACAGCTTCTGGGGGTGATGGGGCCTCCTCTGGAAAAGGGTAGGAAGGTGGTAGTGGCTATGCTTTGGGAAGTTCAGGCTCTACCCACCACAGGTCAGAACAAGGCCATAGGCAGGAGCCCTGCTGGCTGGGCCAGTTGTCTGTGGAAGGTATTTCTGTTTATTCTGGAAGCCTTGTCCCATGAATCAAATTCAAATAAAAGTGACATTCTTAGCCTGCTAGTCCTATCCTGGGGACTAGGGAGGGAATGGGGTCTTGCTCCACCCAAAGCTACATAATTTAATGTTAACGATGCCTAATGGCAATCCCTGGATTGGATAGCACATGTCATAGCCACCTTGGCAATGGGCACACAATAGACCACCCTCAGCCTCAGAGCTTGCAGATCACCTGACCTCACAACTGGGAAGATGGAGACTCCTAGCTCCAGCCTCTTGACTGTGGGCCACACAAGCAGCTGGTCAGCAAATGTGGCTGGACCCTTTTGTGGGTTTCACAGGAAAGTTAAAGCTCTTGTTGAAGGCATGGGGGAAACTCCAGGGAACAAGACACAAGGCACCCCGGAGGGGCTCAGCGCCCAGCCTCACTCAGCAGCCTCTGCCCTTCCCCACTGGTCCTCCTACAGGAGTGCTGGGTGGGGGTTAAAGGGAAGAAGCAGGGAGGAGCAGATACCAATCTCTCAGCTGGGCAACCATTTTGGCTTGCAGCCCAGGAGAATGACACCTGCCTGCCACCAGATGCTGTGATGTCAGCTCTCCCAGAATTGGAAGGAGCTGAAAGGGCCAGCTGTAGGCTGTTGGGGACCACAGCTGCTCAGAGACAGACAGTGCTGCTGAGAACTGGCTCTTGAGGAACACCACACAGGCCAGGTACAGAGCCCAGCTCCGAGGCAGGAGGAAGCCCCACTTAACAGGCCCCGCCTCCCAGCTGTGGCTCCTACCACTGGAGAGGCCAAGGGCCTTGGGGCAGAGGGAAGCCAGGACCTGCTGCCACAGCCTTCCGTTCCAGGGAGGTAGTGTGTGAGGGACACTGGCCCGTGAGGAAGAAAGGCAACGGAGCTCAGATGAATGGCAGAGGCAGGTTTAATGGTGTCACCTTGTCTTGTTAATGAGCCAAACAAACAAACAAAAAAAAAAAATGCAAGTAAAAAAAAAAAGTTTAATCACACAGCACTTTATACAGATATTGTAAGCAGTGGGCATTCACATCTCCACACAATCCACCGGGAGCTGCAGCCCCGCCAGACACTTGGATGTTCTGAAGATACCAGTGAGTGCCTGAGTGTGGCCCAGCTCCGCCCTTCCCATGGCTCTACTGCCTGGGTGGTCCTCGCACAGCACAGGCGTGGAGCCCACTTAAGGCTGACAAGACGCATCATGCTTTGGCTTTTTTTTTTTTTGTCTTTTTTTTCTAATAAGTGTTAATATCTTTTGCTTTTGAGATTTATTTTTCCAACCTTAAATATTACATACATACACCAGAAATTACATAGCTGCAATGTGCTCAACAGCATCCTCTGAACCTGGAGCTTCACATTATCAAAAGCTTAGAAAACTTGTAAACCTCTGGGCCCGTTGCAGGAGGGGACTGAGCGCTGCTGCTGCCTCCCTCCTCCCTCTGGACTGCGCCTGCAGAGTTTCTAAGTGGGGGCTGATGGAGGCCTAGATCTCATCCCAGAGAGGCTCCTGCCACCAGATGGGGCGAGGCCCTGCACCTGCCCTGCAGCTCCTGCCTGCTCACTGGCGTGAGGCTGGAAGGCCAGCAGGTGTCACTGCAGTCCCCACAGGTGGACCTGGGCCTGAGCTGCTGGTGCCCCCACCAGCCACAGACAGGAAGCACAAGGCACCTACAGCTCTTTGTTCTCCACCAGCTCCCTGTCCTCAACTCCATGTTGGTGCATGAGGCTACCACCTCTCCCAGGCATCACCCTGAACCTAGCCTGTCCCAACCTCTCTTAGAGAGCAAGTTCAACAGGCCTAAAGGCTATTATGTGGCCAACGGGCCGGGCTGGGAGTCAGCAACAGCGCTACAGTTCCCGTGGGATGGTGTCAACGCTAGGGGATGAGGGGCATATCCAGTGGCGGTGGCAGCAGGAGGAGGGTCTGGGACATGGGGAGGCTACAATCCAATTGAAGAAGTTGAAAGGGACCGGGGACATTGCAGGAGCAGCCCACACTTCATGCAAAGGCACATCCACTCTCCTGCCCCGCTGCAGGGTCCCCTGGCCCTGGAACACCCCGCCTCTGACCTGAGAAGGGAGACATTCTGCCTGGGCAATATGTGGAAAATCGCAACAAGGTCCCGATTTCCTTGCCATAGGGGACCTGCCCATGTATCGCTTCAGAACAGATATGCAGCGTTTTGGGGCACTCCTTACACTCAGCATCAAACTTGCCTTGGGGAGCGGAAGGTTGAGGGGCTCACACGGAGCCAGGAGGGGCCAGGAGGGGAGGTTCCAGGGGAGGGAGTGAGCAGGCAGCAGCTGGCTCTCCCATGGTGATGCTCCTTCCTTGGGGCTGGTGGCTACTTGTCCTCCGTGTGCTCGGGCATGCCTGCCTCCAGCAGGGCGGCCCGGAACTGTGCCAGGACGCCCCGGATGCTCTTGATGAAACCCTTAGAGAGTGGGAAGAGCGGGAAGCCGATGTCAGGGTAGCCACTCTTCTCAGGCAAGAAGCTCCGGTAGCTCTTCCTCCGCTTCTTTGGTTTGACGCTGGGTGGTACTGATGCGTCAGGCGCTGACTCCGAAACCTGGTCTGTGTGGTCCCTGCTAGTTGAGGCAGGGCACTGGGCACCACCCTCCGAGTCTGAGCCCTGGGAGGCCTCTCCAGGGGCCAGCCCAGCATCCTCAGGTTCTTCACGGCCAGAGTCTGAGAGCTCAGCTGCAGCTGGAGGTTCTGGAGAGCCACTGTCCTTGGGGATGCCATTGGGCAGTGCCTGGGCCCTCTCAAGCAGGGCATGGGTTTCTAGCCAGGACTCCATGCGGTTCACAAGCCGCCAGCCACCAGTGCTGAAGTGCTGCCGGATCTCCTGCTCAAAGACCTCCGGGGGCCGTCGCACCAGCTGGGTCATAGACTGAACCACCCGGATCAGCGCCATCTCGTTGTAGCAGCGGCTGTTCTCGTAACCTTCCTGCAGGCCCCGGTCACTGTCGAAGCCAGCTTCATTGTAGTATGGCTCATTCACGAGGATCAGACCTGCAGTGGGCAGGGTCACCCATCAGGCCAAGCCTGGCCACTACCCGCAAGGAGCGGGCCAGTGGGCCACCTTCCACCACTCCCTGTCCACTGCCCAGCCCAACCGCACCTTGAATGGAGATGAGCACCTGGAGAAGACTGGATTTGCTCGTCCACCTCTCTGTCCCCTGAAACACACACAGCACCATGGAGTCTGTCTCAGACACCTGCTCCCATTCTCCCTGCACCCCCGCTGGGATGCCGGCACAGCACTCACCTTTCCAATCCAGGTGCCCAGGAGGCTGACACACACCTTCCCATTGTCGTACAGGTTGGGGTTCAGGCGTCCACTGCACTGGGAGAGGTAGCAGAAGTGGGGGGGCACGGCTGGGTAGATGTTGGGGAGCTGAATGTCAAACAGGTAGAGGCCATCCTCATAGGGGGTTCGGGTGGGGCCCTTGATTAGGGCTGAGAAGAGGTCCTAGGAGGGAGGGAGGGAGGGAGGGAGGGCCAAGGTTGGCACAGAGGCTCTGGCTTCCCTCCTCCAGGGCCACGTGCAGATCCAGGGAGGAGCAGCACTCCAGCTGTGCAGGCACATGCCCTGGGGTGGGGGTCTCATTTCCAAGAGGATGGGTCTGAACTCCAGAGTAAATGCTGGGAGACCCCACAGAAGCTAGGTGCCAAGTCCTGAGGGGGTGTGTGTGTGAGTATCAACTGCCCAGGTCCATGATGTGGGTGAGTGAGGAGCAGGAAGGCAAAGAGGGGGAGGTCCCCTAACTGGAGTAACGGGATCCTCTCAGGCACAAATCTGATCTGTGCAACCTGCCAGCTTCTGAGATTTGGGAAAAAACACCACCAACTAGTGCTCCCTTATTCCTTTAGCAGAGCTGAGACTGGAATTTTCTAAAGGAATTTTACCTAACCTCAGGAACAATAAAAGTGTTACTAAAATCTCAAGTCGCACTGAGCCTTGCTCCGCTGCTGCCGGCCAGCATGGCCTGCGTGAACAGGGCTCCTCCTTCTAACTCTTCACGTCCCTGCTCCTTTGTTCTATGGCCCTTCTGGTCTAGGACAGGGCGCAAGCTGGGGCCTCAGACTCAGTCAGTGTCTAGCACAGTGCCTGGCTCATGGTGGAGGCCCAGTCCTTACAAGTATCTCAACAGTACTCAAACACCAGGCCCGTCCCGGAGCAGAAGTAAGGCACGGAATGCATAACAGAAGGCACACGTTGGGTCAGCTGAACTACGGGGTCAATCCCAAGAACCACGGGCTAAGAGAAGGGAGCCAGCTTTAGGACGCACCACTCTGTGTAACCATGTCGTACAAGACACTGTTTACAGTGGCAATGCACAAGAATTACAAATGTTCAAAAGAGGTTGTGGGAGACTGGCTAAGGTTCAACCTCCAGGAGTAGAAAAGGCCTAGGACTTGGGGGGGAAAAGGAGGTGAGGACTGGTCCATGGCAACTTTAGCTTTCTCTGTAATATTCTGAGTCTTCAGAAAGAAGAGTAGACTCAGGAAACTGTATAAATTTCTAGCTAATTTTTTAAAGAAAGAAGGAAAGAATGAACCACCTGGTCTAGACCTCTGTGGCTGATGACTCTGTGTCAGAGCTCACCTGACTGAGCTGTCACCTCCCCTATAAAAGAAGGTGGGTAGGTGGTCACTCAGGTGCCAGTCAGCCTGGAGGTGCTGGCACCCAAGGCTGGGCACTAAGTGCCTACATGGCCCACCTGTGCTGGCCCATGCCAAGCCCGTGCTAGCCCACTTGCCATTCTGTCCTCAAAAGTCTTGACCATGATGCCATCAGGAAGGGAGGTAGCCAGCAGCGCCATTTCCTTCCGTACTGTGCTGAAAAACTTCTTGGCTTCTGGAGGCTGGAACTCAATTTTCTTAAAAGAGTGATTTGCTGCAGGGGAAAGAGAACAGTCTCAGGGGAGGCCTGGCACCTCCTGCCGCACACCTGGCCGCTACCTAGGGCTGTGTGGCCTGGAGGGAGAGCGGCCTGGTGTGCTCCCAGACAGATGAGTTGGCCCAGGT